TACAGGGTTTTTGTGAATTGACTAGTGTAATAAATTTTATAGTGACGTTAATTTGCTGTTAGTACAAGCTGTTCTAATAACAATAACAACAAATTATTTCTGTTATCAGATAAATGTAAGAATTTCCAAACTGACAAAATCTTTTTTTTTTAAGGCACAATATCTTTTTATTCTCATTTTTCATCTCTCAGCTGTTTTCGTTCGGTAATAAAATCAACAGTTATTTTCTCTCTAACTTATCATTACCACTTTCATTTGAAACATATCAAGATTTTGTTAGTAGAAGAAAAAGAATAATAACACAATGCCGGAACTGATATTTGTGTCAAGATAATTTTTTTAGGTAAGAAAAACCAATAATTAATAGATTCAATTGTAGATAAATTTTTCCAATATGCTGTTAACTTTGATAAAAGAATGTAAGAGTTATTCTAAATTATACTTATTTGAAGTACGAGCAATATGGTTATAGTATAAACAAAATTTTTCTACATTAAAATGACAATAGAAAGATATTAGTATAGACAAACAACAAAGTTATAGACGATAAACTGATGCTACTAGGATCTGAATGATTTTTTTGCTTTGTTTTTAATAATCAATGACAAGTTATCTTTCATCATCATTACAAGGTCTGATCGTTTTCTTCTTCGCAAAATTTACTATAACTCTATATTAGAATAATGCCTTATAGGAATAAATATCGTTAGCGTCTATAAAGACGTGTGATTTTCGTCGATGGATAATAAAACAATCTAATCAATGTATCCTCTTATATATAATCAATGAAAAAAGGAAGAAAAATTACATATTTTGTTTATAAACAATATATATATATTTTATAGGGTCAAATTCATTAAATTACAACAAATTATTAGATCTCATCAACATTTTTTTCTTTGTATCACTTGTGAATTAGTTAAATTAATTAACCATAAGTTATTGATTTTCTACACACTCCATTTATAATAATAAAATAAAATTTAATGGATGAAAAACACAGTTCATTTGTTGACTGAAAAGACGATATAATTTGACAAATACTCATCCAAAAAAAAAATGGTCTAAAATGCATATCAATACGAAAAGATACGAGTAAATGATAACATCGACAACAGTTGTTGTTATCGCATAACTAAGATGAAGTATATAGTAAAACGCAATATGTACAGATTCTTTACAGATACAAGAGAAACAAATATGTATATATACACTTATCTAAATAAAAAATTGTACAGTTATTCCATGAGACTGGTTCCAAAACTTTTGATGATTGATATAAAAATTAACAGATTCTAAGACGTTTGGTACCGAAGTGAACAACTGGTCTAAAGTCAACATTTTTGATTATAAAGTTTGCGTATAAATCATGTATCGAACGGAGTGTTTATTTATTTCTCTCAGAAACGAATATAAACACGAAAAAGGGTTGCTCTTTCAAAACTGTACCACGTTAACATCGACTTTATCCCAACAATTCGAGAGTAATAGGACTAGTACAACTCGGGCTTCTGATAATAAATATCATGTTTAAAAGATTTTAAAACAATGGCATTTAGCCTTCTAGACCTCTGGAGATACCATTTCCCAGCAGAACAGACCTTTTCTGGGCATTTTCATCATTTTTTAGCGAAACACTTTCTTGAGCTGGTACCGTCATATTATAATCTGTATGTACAGCGCTGCAACATCCCTAACAGACAAAATGTTAAGCATGTTCCCTGAAGAATTTTTAAAATAATCGTTTTTTCCAAACAGTTGGCCTGTTTTGTAAACATATGTCCCCCATAAAACCATGTCAACATACGATGACAAGACACGCATTCGACGCATCTTTTCAAGCTCTATCCGATGAAATGGTTCTCCTTGAGATTAAAAACTATCTAATGATAGAAAAAAACCCTTAAAACCGATTTTCTTCGTTTTTCAAAGTTTGAGTATGTGCTGCACCATCTCACGGGCTTGCATGACGTGGATGACATATATTTCGTATGTACTCGGCGTGGGCTACTAGAAAAACAGGTTTTTTGTCTTTGCCCAAGCACATTCAGAAACAGCGTTGTCTCAGCAAAAATACCACAGAATTTTCGTCTGTTTCAAAAATGCTTAGGCAAAGACAAAAACCTGTTTTTCTAGTAGCCCGCGTCGAGTACATGCGAAATATACGTCATTCCACATCATGCAAGCCCGTGGAATGGTGCAGCACATACTCAAACTTTGAAAAACGAGGAAAATCGTTTTTAAGGGTTTTTTTTAATAAAGGCTAATTAAATGTTTTGGGATACTTCTGTACAGGTTCACCCAATAAACAGGATCTGAAAGTCGAAAACCTTTTACTATACACATTCGGTAGTGCTTCTAAAAGTATGTGAAGCGCCTCAGTCACTCTAAGATTAAGTTATTGCAAATATGTTTTTTCTCTAATCTACATTGTACACTTAGCGTTTTTAGGACTTTTCTAACCGAATGTTCTGGAATTATATGAATATTGAAGCGTGCTCTTCTCACTAGTTGGATAGAGCATCGAAAGTTGCGTATTTGTCACCAAAAGATCTACTTTTTATTCTCAACGGTGTAAGATAATTTTGGAATGGAGAATACCTGTTACACAAACACTACCCGTCTGGTACTAGGAAAGTCACCAGTTTTCACATATGTTTATAAACGTTTTCTGTAGGAGATTTTCTACAGAACCGCAAGAGACCCAGACTATCTAGACAAAAGCAAACTAAACTTTCAGTCGTGGTCAGTATGAAGAATTACCTATAATTCTTTCATTTGACTGTAACATATCACCGGAGCGAAAAATTTTAAAAGAGTTTGTTTGGTCAAAACCGATTGCAGATTCGTCTTCTCCACAGTAGATTCTTTGGTACGTGAAAACGTTTGAATCAATGTTTTGAAAATAGGTGCGGCTTATATTTTCTTCTCCTCACCCCATTGAATTTTCATCAAAATGTCAAGCAGACTAAAAGCCTATCTTATTTTGAACGCGAATAAAATGACAGATAAATCCATAGAAAAATAGAAATAACTTAAAAAGCACCGAAAGGTGTTTTCTCTGCCCAGTTTTCGATACAAAACTGGAACAAATACTGATCAAGACAAGAGATTTCTTTCTCTGTTCTGTACATATGGGTCAAACTACGTGTTTTAACAAAATATTAAAAAAAATAACTAAAAAATAGCTAGGGCTTGAGCCTCCACCTCAATCTCTCGAGTCCGCAGCCTATCCATCCATACTGGATTTTTTATCATATAAACATCAACACATGCCAACAAATATTGAATAATCTGCATGATTATGATATCAGGCTCAACTTTTACATCTAGCTACTTGTAACAGATTTGTTATTTGAATGAAACCAAAAACAACATTCTTCTATACTAGAAGTGAAGTGACGGCTCCTTCTTTCAAAAATATTTGAGTTGCTAGTGTGACAAAAAAATCTCGGTGTATTAAAATTAAAGACTACAAAATTGCACAGAATGATGGAAATAGGTAGAAAAGAGCGATAAATAGTCTTTGGTTGCTTTTTGTTCAAAACCAGTCAGAACAGAAAGTAAACGAATTGTCAACATATTCGTCCTTGCTCGTGACTCATAAGTGACAATGAAGAAATGGATGGTAGTAATGAGGAAATGTTAATTATAACAACGAAAAAGCAAAAAGTAGTTGTTGAAAAACTAAACAAATACAGGGTATGGCAAAATTATATTATAAATTATAGCCCTCTTTTATTTTTCATTTATTCCCATAACGCTCTAGTTAAAAGACTTTTGATAGGCTTAAAAATAACATGATTCAATAGAGAATTTTAAAGATCACATTTTGTTAAAAAGACTTTCTCAAAAACCACCTCTTTCGGTTTCGAAATTTTAATTTTAAGTAGAGATGGTGGAAATTTTGAAAAAGTAAATTTCTAATATCTAAATGCGAATTAAAATGTTTTTCGACTATACCATACGAAAGAGCGGAGAAAACTGCACCGGGTAACTAAAGCAGAGAGCGATTTTAGTCTGTTTAAAACTGTTTACTTAAATCTCTCACTCACGACATCTACTTCAATTGCATTTTTCGACGACTTAGCGCTTGCCTCAAAGTTTTTCAATATGGTAGGATCAAAGAGAAATAAATTCTGTACAAAATAAGCTAGCTATTGCACGACTTTCTATTATAATTAACTGATGAGTTGTGGATCTTCCATCTATGATTAATTTTCTCCATATTAATTAAATCACTCTATATTTTAGTTACAATGCTACTACTCGATGCAGTTTTCTCCGCTCTTTCGTATGGTATAGTCGAAAAAAATTTTAATTCGCATTTAGATATTAGAAATTTACTTTTTCAAAATTTCCACCATCTCTACTTAAAATTAAAATTTCGAAATCGAAAGAATTTTTGAGAAAGTCTTTTTTTACCAAAATGTGACTCTTAAAATTCTCTATCAAATTAAGTTTATTTTATACTTATCAGAAGTCTTTTAACTAGAAAGTTATGGGAAATAAATGAAAAATAAAAGTGGGGCCTATAATTATGCCACATGATTTTTCAGTGTATTGGCTTTTTCTCTGTATTGATTGGCCTAGAAATCAAAGGAACTGTATGAAAATGTAGATTAGACATGTGGCTATTTATATCAGATAGCCGTTTGAAAAAAGATTTAGTGATTGTTGTGCAACTCGTATATGAGGGAGGCTATAATTTTGCTATACTCTGTGTATCAAAATGATATTGATAATCATGATAGTTCGATCATTGTCCTTAGAAAACAACAACAGAGTCATTTATTATTCGTCTGTGAATATATTTGTGGTAGATAGCATTCATTATTTTCCATCCGTATTTGCTGTTTTGATACATGAGTTGTTTTTTGATATTTTTCTTGTTCGGATGAGTAAACTGTATCAGAGAAATTAGTGGAGAAGTTGCTATCTTGAATTTGCAGTTGTTTTAGCAGTGACTATGAAAGAAAATGAAAACATAGGAGAACAATTTATTTCTGTATCGTGCGGCTTACTTCACCAATTTGAACGCGTTTTGTATAAATATCAGCTTCATGTTTTATTTCTTTCAAATGTTGAACTAGTTTGACGTAATTCATAATTGATGATGAGATTTTTATTTCTGATAAATTACGTCGAAGTGAATCATTTTCTTGTTGAACATCAATGCTTTCACGAGTTATTTGATCGATTTCTGTTTTATACATTTTAATCAATTTATCATTTTTTGACCATTTTTCTTTAATTTCTTCTAATAACAAAGTTTCGCTTTCAAGATTTTCTCGTGCTTTCTGAAGACATCGAACACGAAGGAATACATGAGCTTTACTAACAATGAGTTTTCGATGAAGATTATCAGCCTTGTTCTTAAAGTCCAATTTTTTTTTGTGAGCCATTTGTACATCAACATCATCCGTTGTCTCTCGTAATTTATCAACTAAACGAATACGTTCGTCTGTTGATTTAATGCGATGTTTAATACCGGCGGAGTTTATCTTAAATCTACCAATAAGACTTATAAGAGAATGAATACGTTTTTTAATTTGATCTAAGACTAACTCTCCAGAAAATTTAAAATTAGGATTAAAGCCTGGTTCACCCATTCTTAATTTGTATAAATTGACACGCTTTTCTACTTCTCGTATCATTGCTATTTGACTATTAATATCTCCGTCGAATAGTTTGTCCAAATACTAGAGAGTAAAATAATTTTCATAGTTTAGACATAAAAGACAGTAAGATTTTGCCTATACCATCATTTCGTCTATGCTCCATAAATGATACAACATCTTTTTTTCGACATCTCGTCTTGACTGATCACATTCATATTCTGCAATACGCATTTGTTCAGTAACAGATATCTGAAACAAGCTGTCGTGAAGATACTTTTTCCAGTTTGGATGTAATTTCACCCAGCCCGCATGAGAAGCAACTAAACAAGAGGCGTCCGTGTATAAAAGTTCATTTCATTTAAAACATCTGCTTAGAAATACACAAGTATCGGATACATACCAGATTTGGAGTAGAATGTGCTTTGACGCCTCGCTTCCTGTGGCAACTTTACCGACAAAAGAAGCGGAGGATTAGCATGTATTTCTTCCTCTTCTTCAAAAGTATCGTTGTTGTCAAGTTTACGATGCAAATGACCGACACGTGCCAGAAATTGATGGTAGAGTAAGTTTTCTTGTAGTAGTGTTTGATTTTCTTTGCTAGAGGCAAGAAAAATTCAATAGCTATAATTCAAATCTCTTAGAAAATACATACACAGTATCTTCCAGGAGTCTCATTAAGTCATCGTCGTCAGTATCTTCATAAGAGAAATCTTTTGGAATGAAGAGTGATATGATTCTCCTTTCCCTCATCGAAGGAACCTGTAATGCCGGTTCGGAATACAGGCGTCTCTTACTCATTTTAGAACGTTTTTCAATTAAACACAATATTAAATAGATTCTCTATAAGACTATTGCAGTAAACATTGCTTTCGACTGGTGAATGTCACTAAATGTTTTACGAGTGAATAGTAGAGAAGAAATAAAGATATCTTAAATCAATAAATAAAAATATTCAAGTACATGTATGCCAGATATCAGAAACAAGTAATACAATTTATATTACAATTTATATTACAATTTATATTTCACATATTCATTTTCGTGTTTAGTATTTGTTTTCTCCAAATCAAGGTGAATTTGAATATGAAGAAGGCTAGGTTAACGCTAAGATATATTCTATTTGGTCTTTTTTAAACATGTTAATTTTATGACAGTGTACTCGATATATTATATGACGTTCTCTACAAAATCATAACTCTATCGACTCTTAAAACTGCTTTATCTTAGAGATAAAACTTATTGGTTTTCATTTTATTTTAGACTGACCCATAGTCATGGATGACAGTCATTGTAGGACATCCTCCGACGGATAATGAGGCAATACTGCTGCACTGTGTAACTCAAGTCAACGTTCATGTACTTCGACGAGTCAATGCGAGAAAAGTTAGAAATCTGTTAATTTTTTATCGTTATGATAGTCTTCTGACTAGTGAAACAAAAAAGTGAATAACTTTGAAATGGTGTGTCCAGAGGTATGCTTCGAAACGATGTGTGGAGAATACCCATGTGCTGAAAATCGCTTCATTTTTGTCGATTAATCGCGATGGTTGAAAAAATCGACGCTCAATCGCAATTCAGGAAAAAAAATGGTCATTTAATGGCGATTAAGTGATAATTTTTTCGTGCATCGCGATTAATCGATGACTTTGTCAACCATCGCAATTAATCACGAAAATCATCAATTAATTGCGATTAATTGTTGATTTTAAGTGATTAAATGGTTG